TCTAATTAAGGTGTTTCCGAAAGAGAAACACCTTTCGTCGAAATTTCATATTTGAAAAATCACGTTACGCGGAGGCCAACGTTTACCGAGCGGAGCGGTGTTTACATCGCGGCGTCGAGCATAAGAAGTGTTATTCCCTTTCTTATACTCGGGAACCGTCTGTATTTCTTTGATTTTTGTGTATATTTCCGAGAATTCGTAATCGAATTCTCGAAACACGGATTAAGTTAATAATTGCAGGCCGAGCAATGCTCTTAAGCCATGCACACCATTTCAATCTTCAAACAATACGTAAGAATTGAGATCCTAGCATAGAAGATTCAACGTTCTTCCATCGTAAAGGCAAACCTTTTCCCCGAGATCTAGACCATTGACTCGCGAACAAATCGAAATATGAAATGATCAAATAGAATCGACACGTCCTTAATATCTGACGATACACCAGGTAATAGACAAGAAAGGATAATAAAGACGAATAAAATGCCAATGTCTCATTCGTAAAAAATTATATATATATATGTATTTAATATTCCACCAACCTGTCGTCTTTCGATCTATTGTGTAGCCCTTTGTGACTCTCCCTTCTCGTAGCCGGCTTCACCGTCGGCGGCTTTTCGACCTTAATCACTTCTTCCTCCAACGGCAGCGATATCACCAGCGTCGACGAAGCGCCGGAAGAGTCCTTGTCAGCACTAGCGATTCTGGAATCATCCTCCTTTTCTACGTGTCTCTTGACCAGTTTGATCGTTCTGCTTTTCACCCGCTCCTTCCCGTGCGAGAATCCGTCCTCAGTCTTAGAGTGCGTTGTCTTCGGCGTCGACGAGCCTCTGGCCCGTTCACCGTCCATCACCTTGGCCGTTTCCTGCGGCACCTCCACCTCCATTCCTTCGAATCCTTCCAAGTTTGCGGACAGGATGAATTCATCGCCCGCCGCGTCAAAAGGTATGACCTCGTTTCCTTGCGAGGAGATCTCCTCGATGTTTGTCGAATCATTGAGGGCCACGACAACGACGTCCGTCGCCTCCTCGGCACCGACTGAGCCGCGTCTTCCGCGTCCAGTGCGAAGTCGTCCTCTGTTACCTCGACTTCTGTCGGTTCTCTGGATGACCTTGTATTCCTTGCCGGAGTCACCGTTAATATGTTAAATTTATGGACCCCCGCCTGGTCCAATGACAGACGATTACGTCTTTTCCTCAGAGTCCCGACGGACCGGCCCTCCATCTCAATGGTGATGATCAAGCCAGCCCTCGTGTATTTTTCCCGGACTACCCTCCATCTCGCAACGTCCAGTCCCGCGTTATACCTTTCCAGGTCGTGTATAATGTTTTTCCCATTAAAACGGGAATGCGTTGCCCTGCCTTCTACTAAAAAGCGGTTATCTAGAGCTTCTCGTTCCTCCACCCGAAGCTCGCATCCACCTCTGACCTTGACGAATTTAGTCGCCACCTTCAGCCACTTCACCGTCGCCTCCTTGTCACAGGCGAGGAGGATTCCGCCGTTCTTGCGAAAAAAGGACAGGAATCCGGGTTGCACGTATGCGAGAGATTTCTTCCTTCGCGCTTCAATGTAGCTCATAACGCACTTATTAAGTGCGTCCCCGAATTCCTCGGCTTCTTTGAACGTTAGGACTCTATCCGGAAAGCCCTCATGGACGATCGCCACCTGATGGGCTTGTTCGGATTCATCCCTCACAAATTGACGATTCATTACGGAGCTCCAGGATCAGCTCCCTTCCTCTCGACTCGACTCCCCTTAGT